ATTCTCCTCCTCTTCCTTTCTCCTTTCTTTCTTTCCTTCTTCTCTTCTTTCTCAGCCGGCAAAATACTCTTCTCCACTCCTCCAGTCCTCCTTTCTCTGTTGTTCATGACTCATATACTATTTGGCCTTTCCTAATATGAACCATTCGAACCGTTCGACCCAGATTGTTGAACCGCTGACCCAGAAACCGATAGCTAAAACAGTTCCATTTTTGGGTCAGTTTTTAAAACCTTGTTTGCAAGTAGTTTTGATCTTATAAAGTTTCATGTTGACAAGTAGGGACAGTAATATGAGTTCAAATCAGCCCTCCACAAGGTAGTTTCCCACAACGTCCCACAGCATATCATGGGGAGATGTTTCCAATACATGACAGGAATGTGCTGTGGGACATTGTGAGAAACTATCTTGTGGGGGGCTGATTTGAACTCCAGTAATACTTTGTCGAGGATATTTTTAGCATACTAGTTGTCAACTTTCACTAGTCATGTGCTGACACAAATCCTTGTAATTCAATAGTTTGGGACATTTATACGAGTCCGGATGTAGTAGGCACGTTAGGTAAGCACAATGAGTGAGCACGTAATAGCTGTGTGACACATGTCCGAGTTAATGCGCCTTTCATTCTAATGTTTTTGCTCCGTTAGACAAAAACTATCTATTATTTTATTATCTTTGCCAAAATAATTAAAAATAAAAAACAATAAAAAAGAAAAATGTAAATCAGTCCCAACTCCCAACATGTTTAGGTTTTCCTTTTTCATTGTTTTTATTTTTAATTATTTTGAAAAAGATAATAAAATAATGGATAATTTCTATCTAATAGAGCAAAAACGTTTGGATGAAAGGCGCATTAACTGGGGCATGTGTCACACAGCTATTATGTGCTCACTCATTATGCTTACCTAACGTGCCTACTACATCCAGACCCCATTTATACTTGTACAGACCTAGGACCTTGGTTTTAGAGGTCTAGCACAACACGTGGTAAGATGCCATTAGCCATACACAATAAAATAACAGTTTTTACATTATTCGTGGTGCCCTAAAGGGTTGACATGACCCATGAGTAATGTGGGATCCACAATTTCATTAGATATTGCATGAAAATATAGAATTGGGTTGTGCTCCTCACACAAGGTGGCTCACACTGACCTCACATGCATAATAACGTACAAGTATAGGAGATATTCCAAATGCATAGTGGGATGTGCTTGTGAGGAGTAGATCTGGTCTCGAAAATATATGCTTATATGATATCTCACCCATACCGTGGGGCTCAGATTTTTGAGGTGGACTGAACCATAAAACCCCCCTTTTTTTGTAAAATTAAACTCATTATTTTCATGACATCATAATTTATTTCATTTTCTCCCCCACTCTATAGATGAGGATAGAAGGAGCACATTTGAGGGGGAAGACTTGGACTGGGAGGTTGGTCTTGTCTCTCTCACTAAGAAACCACTTTCTCATCTCTTAATTTCATGGAGGCCTCTTCTTCCTCTTCTCCTCTGACAATTTTGTGAGAGAATCATCCTCACCTTGTGGCAACCTGCCCAAATGCCATGTGGTGTAGTAGATAAAAGGACCCAACTTTTTGGTGACTCCACTGGGGACTGGGGAGTGCCGCCGTTCATAATCTTGCCGGAAGTCCAAGTGAAGGTGGATAACAAATCTGGTCAACCAAAGATAAGTTTTAAGCTTTCTCTCTCTTTAGAACCTTCGTTACTTTTGTTTTGACGACTTAAATTTGTTATCTTCTCTAGCGTTGGTAGAATATGTTAAGTTATAGTTTTGTTATCTTTCTTAACGAATGCATATATCTTTGTATGCAGCCTGTTTTTCCCTTGAAATATGAGAATGAACATATATAGTCCAAAATGTATGATTTCTCGAATCCGTAATCTTCCTTCCCTAGTCGTAAAGTAAAACAGTAAAGGAAAAACAAACAAACAAACAAAGAGCGACAGAAAATGGAAAATATATTTGACTGTTGTTACACCGGCCGGTTAGATTTTGGTGGAGTATAATCATCAATTATGCTTTTCTTTTCTTGAGGAACCAAAATTTCATGGTAGCTCCCTCGTGATCTGTTCAGACTTTTTCTGTGAAGCCTCCTCACATGGCATGCCTCATGTAGAGATACCATTTGCATGGCTGCTTTTAGACGGTGTTTTATTACGGCCATGCTCTGCTGGATATGAAGAAAATGCATGATTAATTTAGTGGTTTATTACTTATATAAAAAAAAGAGAGAACAAATTAACAAATCAAATGGCAGTGTTGATTCATAGTCGACCCTTGGTGCGAGTATCAGACCTCCTACTTGTACTGTACCTCTTAACTTTAAGGAAAAAAAAAAAAAGAAAGTGTCATATATAAAAACATACATATATATATATATATTATAAAATATAAAAATATTTTACTATAAGAATATATTATATATTATAAAAAGTGTCATATATATAATATAAAAATATACTTATTTTCAAGTTTTCAAGCCAAACTCGATTTCATTGAAACAAGTCTTTTGAGGTCCTTTGAGGTCTTTCTCTCTATATTTTTTTCTCTTCTACTTCTTCTTCTTCCCCATTTCTCTCTCTCCCTTTGCTTCATCACCGCCGCTGCAACGGTGATAGATCCCCATTTCTCTCTCTCTCCCTTCCGCCGATCTTGTGGATGGTCTATTTTGGTCCACACCATGGGATAGGCATGGTGTTTGGTTGGTTGTAAACGGGATTGGTCCACAATATATCTCGTGGATGTGGTTGGTCTACAACATTTCCACACTCTATTTTGATACAATACATTTCCTTTACATACTTTTCTTTATTTTTAATTTTTTAAATTTCAAAATATCTTTTTAATATTTTTATCAATAAAATAGTAATTTTTAACGTTAATTCTAGCACAAGCTCGGTAGTGCTCCTTCTCCACTTTTTTTTAATTTATTTAAATATAGATTTTTAATGTTTTTATCAATAAAATAATATTTTATATTTTTAACTATTTTACTATTTTTTATTAAAATTAATATTTATTGGTTAATATTAATTTATCGATGCCTTTTCCAACTTATTTTTCATATAAAATGCAAAAAATTAAACATTTTATGATCGATTGTGTAGATCACATCATAAACTATATATGAGATACATGGAATCAAAATGTACACCTATAAAACACCACTATGGGTTTGGTCCATCCTATTTTTATTAATGCAATTGCCTAATGGCCTTTCTACCAAAAAAAAATGCTAAGAGAAATTTTAATCAATTATGTATATGTGTGGGTTGGAAGCACTGTTTTCTGAGAAAACAATGTTTTTTTTTTTTTTTGGAAACGTTGTTGCCAAGTTGGACGTTTCTTGGGGCAACAACACCTTTTGTTTGGTACCAGTGCTCCATATATGTTTTCAGCACCGGTACCCATTATAGGAAGTCCATGTCACTGCCACATCATGTCCTCATCGGCAATAATGAGCTCCAAATTGAGAAAACGTCGAATTTGGCATTACTCCAAACCACACCTTCTCAAATTCCAAGGTGTGGCTTGGAGCAACGTTTTTTATGAAAAACTATTCTAAACATGTTAACATTTTCTGGAGCACCAACTTTTCCAACATGGCGCTGATGTTTCACCGTTTTCTGGAGCAACGACATTGATGCCAAACACTGCCCAAGTGAGTAGGAGGGCCATGGGCCACCTAGTGTCAACGGTATTCGAAAATCCGATTTCGAATTCAAGATTTGACATAATCGAATAGAATTCAGATAATTCGAATATCTAATCGATCGAATTTGGATATGACCTGATTCGATTCGATAAATATTTGAATTCGATTGATTATTTAACTCTTATATATAATATATAAAATATTTAAATATTTTATATATTTTATAAAAATAAAAAAATTATTAATTTCCTAAAATAATTAATTAGTTGAATTCGAGATTTGACATAATCGAATCGAATTCAGATAATTCGAATATCTAATCGGTCGAATTCGGATATGACCTGATTCCATTCAATAAATATCTGAATTCGACTGATTATTTAATTTTTATATATAATATATAAAATATTTAAATATTTTATATACTTTATATATTTTATATAAATAAAATATTTATTAATTTCTTAAAATAATTAATTAGTCAAATTCAAATCGAATTGAATTCAAATATCAAATTTTTTAATCGAATTGGAATTTGAATATAATTATTTTTTTCGGTATTAGTAGACTGCAATCCACAGCCTAGACTAGTAGTCCCCTACGCATCCTGGCCGTGGATTTTACATCGATCCACGGTCAGGATTCATCCCACCTGTATGGTGGGGTTCAGGTTTTTGGGGTGGACTGAAAAATAAAAACCCTTTTTCTTTTAACATTGAAAGAGAGAAGAAGAAATGGCACAAAAGTAAAATACAGATAGATGCGAAGTTGTGGAATATCATATGGTGTGAAGCACAGATGTGAATTTGGTCATAGGTGGGGCAGTTGTCACTCCTCATCTCCACTCCAGGATCAGATCGGAGTATCAGACCTAACCCTCCGGCCTCCGCCCTCGTACTCGGTTTTGGTCTTTCCAACCAAACCACCCCTTGTCAGTTGTCACTTGTCTGTCAGCGCCATCTTCCGGTCCGTGGCCGACGTGGTTTTATAAACTTGTGGGTGGGGGTAGAATTACAGCTTTTCCTCTGTTCTCGGGCCCCATCTGCCAACTGCATCACCATTCACCACTGGTTTTTATATTTCCACGGCTTGCCTAGGGGCCCAAGTTTCCCTTCAGTTAAGACCCAATCCAAGCCCAAGCCCAAGCCCATATCATGAAAGTAGGTTGATTACAGTAGTATAGTTTAGATAAGTCTTAAGTCTACCCCAAAAACGTGCACGGGTAGTGGATGGTGGGCGTGTGATAAGTCTGAAAAGTAAACGGAAACTAGAGCCTATTTAGCACATAAACCTTGTGGTCCATGTCTTCTAAGAAGATGTAAGACCCAGTCCATAAGGCCCAGGACCAAGACAAAAACCGCTCCCTCAGGCTCAGCAATCGCATCTTCAGCGGTGGAACGGTTGAACTTGAAGCCATTTCACGCACGAGAAATTGCGACAATTCCGATGTCTCTCCTCGCCACCCTCATTTAAAAACCTACCCCAGCTCTCTCTTTCTCTTCGCTCCTCTCCCATCAACATCCACTCAACCCCCCTGCTCTCTGTTTCTCTATCCTTGATTCTCTTTCCATTCTCAACGCAATCATGTCTTGCTTCAAGGGCAAATATCATGGTAATTTGTTCTATTTTTAATCTCGTTTTCTTCGTGTTACTGGGTTTTTTATTTTGTTTCTGTTTTTGTTTGATGGGCCTGGTTATGTTCTGGTTTTCTTGTTAATAGCATCTTTCACATATCTGGTCCTCGGCTCATCCTCCTTATTTGAGATATGATGTGATGGTTGTGTTTATGTCAGATCTAAAGAATGTTTTGTTTGTCTTATTTTGTTTTCAGTTTTGAGATATGATGTGGTTTGGACACATAAAATCACATGGAAGTATGTTCTTTTTGAGATTTATCATGTTTTTTTTTTCTATCTAACCATGAACCTCCGTTAGTATTTTACTGATTGCTCTGTAATCTCTCTGGTTGCTCACTGTAAGTTCCCTGGTTGCTCTCTGTTAAAGAAGGGGCGAACAGGGAGTGGAAAGAAATTTATCGGGATTCCTAGATTTTGTTTGTGTCTTATTAAAAATCAATTTAATGCGTAACATTTTTTCGCATTTGTGCGATATATCATGTTGGTTATCGAGATCTTACCTGTTATTAGTTAGAAAAAGCAGTTCTTCTCTTCCATTCTCAATTTATTAGTCCAACCATACAAGTGGAGAAGACCAAACAGTTCTATTTGTTGCACTCCCCATTAAAGCTTAGATTTTTATTCATTTATTTGTTAAATTTCCTGTTTCTGTGGTTCATTTTCCTTCTTTCCTTTTAATCCATTCTAAAGCGAATTAATAGCACAAGTCAGATTTTATTTTTGAGGCGTGAGGGAAGGCTTACAAAGAGTTTTAATGTCAAATTGATAACAGAACATGATCCTATGTCGACCCTAAATATCTGAAATAAGATTATGATGTGATGTTGATTGTGGTTCAGTTTCTTTTGTCTATGGCTTCGGAAACTGAATCCTTTCCTTTCTAGTGTTTGTGATTCGTCTACCCCAATATTATAAATATCTGGACTGTTTTTAGATGAAGCCCCCTCATATTGTTCTTCCTTGCCCTTGGTGAAAAAGATGAGTTTAGCAGAAGAGATTTTGCCATCCTCCCATCTCGAGAGTCAATTGCTTTTTGATGCTTTTGTTAATACCATGGTGTCTTGACAGTAACAGTTGTCCCATTTCATTGGTGCAGATGAACTCATTACCAATGCTGCCTACATTGGCACCCCAGGAAAGGGTATCCTTGCTGCTGATGAGTCTACTGGCACCATTGGCAAGCGTCTGGCCAGCATCAATGTTGAGAACGTAGAGTCTAACAGGCGGGCTCTTCGGGAGCTTCTCTTCTGCACCCCAGGTGCCCTCCAATACCTTAGTGGGGTGATCCTCTTCGAGGAGACCCTTTACCAAAAGACAGCCAGTGGCAAGCCTTTTGTTGATGTCCTCAAGGAAGGTGGAGTTCTCCCTGGCATCAAGGTTGACAAGGGTACCGTTGAGCTTCCTGGCACCAATGGTGAGACTACAACCCAGGGTCTTGATGGCCTTGCTCAGCGCTGCTCAGATTACTACAAGGCTGGTGCCCGATTTGCGAAGTGGAGGGCTGTGCTCAAGATTGGCCCAACTGAGCCATCTCAATTGGCCATCAATGAAAACGCCAATGGATTGGCACGGTATGCCATCATCTGCCAGGAGAATGGTTTGGTCCCAATTGTGGAGCCAGAGATCCTAGTGGATGGTCCTCATGATATTGAGAAATGTGCTGATGTTACAGAGCGTGTACTGGCAGCTGTATACAAGGCTTTGAATGACCACCATGTTCTGCTTGAGGGGACTTTGTTGAAGCCCAACATGGTGACTCCTGGATCTGATGCCAAGAAGGTGGCCCCAGAGGTGGTTGCTGAGTATACAGTCCGGGCCTTGCAGAGGACAATGCCTGCCGCAGTTCCTGCTGTAGTCTTCCTCTCAGGCGGACAGAGTGAGGAGGAGGCCACTCTCAACTTGAACGCCATGAACCAGTTGAAGGGAAAGAAGCCATGGTCTCTGTCATTCTCTTTTGGACGTGCATTGCAGCAGAGCACCCTCAAGGCATGGGCCGGGAAAGAGGAGAACGTGCAGAAGGCCCAATCTGCCTTCCTCGCCAGGTGCAAGGCAAACTCGGAAGCAACCTTGGGTTCTTACAAGGGTGATGCTCCCATTGGAGAGGGTGCCTCAGAGAGCCTCCACGTCAAGGACTACAAATATTGATCAATCAAATTTTGACTTGTCGTTTTGAAGAAAAAATATATGGAGAGTGGTATCCCTTGATTTCCTACTACTAGGCTTTCCATTACTGTTTTTAATTTTCTTTTACTCCCTTTGTTTATTGAGTCAATGTATCAATAAGTTGAAGAAAGATGGAAAGCCCTCATGATGAACCTAAGTTTAGGTTTTGGTTTTTGTGATGAAAGTTTCCATGTTTGTATTATCATATCAGCTAGTTTATAGCAATCGTGGACCTCATTCTTGGCTTTATATATTCTGGAAATCAAATGGTTTACTATGTGACTTGTTTCAGTCTTCTAGCTGCCATAGATCTCTTTCTGTTTTATTTGTTTGAGTAGTTGAGTGAGGGGTTGGTGAATGATATGAAATGGCCAATATGGATATTTCCTTCCAATTGGTTTTTAAATAATACCAAAAAGAAGAGTTGGTAGAAGAAGTGGGGAGAGTTGAGGCTCAGCACCTGCAGTTAGCCAAAAAAAAAGAAAAATGTCATGTGGGCTACTTCATACTTGCAAGAAGCGGGTCCCATGAGCAAATTGAGGGGTCTTATTATGAGTTGTTTGATAGAAAATTGAGGGGTCTTATTATGAGCTCTTCGATCAAAGCCAAAGCTTTTCTATCCTGTGTTGGGTTTGATAGAAAATTGAAGGGTCTTATTATGAGTTGCTTGATAGAAGGTAATAAAGAAACGGAAAGATGAGAGAGTTTAAGTTGTAAGCCAATTTCACAAAGATCCCTAATTTTTCAATTCTCTCTTTTTGGAGCAATCAATTTGGGAGATGGAGATCCACTGTCTACCGGTCATTATTGCTCGTTTATCTTTACTAGTGGCGACTAGCGATACAATTTGGTGAATTGAAGCATTCCTTTACCTGCAAACTGTTTGGTTCAATACCTGCGTTACTTGTTTAGAAGGAAACATTTCTTTTGTACTGAATTGATTTGTTCCCTAAGGCTGCGTTTGGAAAGGATGCAAATAAGTGTGAATGCAAATATGTAGAGTGTAAAATGGTTCATATAAATTATAAAGTTGGGTTAATTTTACACTAACAAATTTACCTTTTTACCAAATAGATTTTTAGCTGTAATGGATGCAAACATGAATTTTAATAAAGCCTATGCTTTTTTTTATCAAAAGCCCACTTGAATGTAAATTTACTTTTTTTTCTATTAATATACTTTATAATCTTATTATCAATGTAAATATGCATTGATCTGTCATTTGTCAATTGTCAGTACATAAATGTAATGTTGCCAAACACAGATAAAAGTGAACCAGAGTACAAATTTATCTTGAACTGGGATTTACACTCCATTTGCATCATTTCAAAACAAAGCCCTAATTACCCTGTCTAGTAAACATCTGATCCACCTGCATAATCCAGGGGTCACTTATTGAATGGGCAACCCCAATTGGCCACGCCATTTTTTACATGGGACACAACAAATAAAAGGGTTTTCTGAGGTCAGATATGCATGCCCACTCGGCAATCCTATATGTCAACTCCTAAAAACAAAAATAAAAATGTCCTCCATTACAACAGAACTCCATAGTAAAAGAAATAAAAAAAGAGCAAAAAAAATTCTTGGGACCAGTCAATAGGGGAAACTCCAACACAGCATGTCGTGGAAGGCTGACATAGATGAATTCAGTATCAATTTGGGCAATCCAAACTGCTGCTTTTCAAATGGGCACTCTGGATTGGCCCATATAAATAATATCTTTATTACGTGGCTGAGAAAAAAGAATAGGAACATTTTCATGGGCTTTTTTCCATGTGCATTGGGCTGACTTTCCAATAGAAACAATATAGGCTAGTCCAATGGGCCTTTATATTATAAAAGAAATCGACATGGCACGTTCACGCGTTGGAAAAAAATTATGCCATAAATCTCTAAAATAAATGGCGAATGTCAGCTCCAGAAGTAAAGAGAAAGAGACAGAAACCAGTTTTGGGGCTAAAAGGAACAAATTTTGGGCCCACCAAAATAGCTGGGCTGACTGGGCAAGGATGTTGAAACTTGAAAGGATGGGGAAAATAACGAGTCTTCTCCAATAAAGAAAGGTCACTTGTTGCTAGGGATGTATATGGGTTGGGAAAGAAACGGGTGGGCCATACAAACTGGCTCATTTTCTATATAGGCCTCAAGCTTGGACCCGACCTGGCTCACGGGCTGAAGATGGAGCCCAATCACAGCCCATTAAGACATTATAATATGAATATAATTTTTTATTTTTTTATGTAAAATATTGTGACATAGTAAGGAAAATATGATACATAACTGAACGGTATGGAGTAATAGACCCAAATATGTCTAAATACAAATTTGTATTAGACTCGTATGTTCTTAAATTTAATTAAAATCTAATATATATATATATGATACTTGTAAGAAATGAATATCTTGTATATCAAGTTGATTAATGGGCCAATGTGACTAACCTACTTAGCCCCCATTTGGGATTGCTTATTTTCAATCACTTATTTGAAAAAGCGCTTATTTTATGCTAGGACCACACCAATAAGCACTTATATGCTTTTGAAAAATAAGCCCATATTGAATAAGCTCAAAATATTAGCTATTTCTCAACTGCTTTTCGAAATATCTCTTATTGTGTTCTGGGCCTTCTGGCCTATCTTGGTGTACCGCATAATTTTCAAAATATCTATATTATCCCTGTTTGAAAGAAGCATTTATTAACATGCACTTATCCTAATAAACGCTTATTTATCCAATAAGCACTCCCAAATGGGGGCTTGGCTGTTTTTCTTTCTTCTTTTTTTTTTTTTTTTTGAAATGTTTCGGTTCAGACTATACTACAAAATTTCGGGTTTGTGTGACTCCTTAGTTCAAAAATCAACCGGAAGGGGATGGACCCATTTTCGTAATTTGGACAGGCTTATTTGAGCAATTTTTAAAAAATTAGAGACTGATTTAAGGGCGTGGGCCTAATGCAGTGCTAAGTTATAGATATGATGAAATCCAATATCGATGGCACTACAAATGGATCAATTGGATATATCTAACCATTTAAAAAAAATGGATATACCTATAGATCCAAACTTGATTTATTGATATTTAGATCTGAATTGAATCTTTTCTATTTTGGATTTGTATTGAATTCGAGTTGGATTTGGATATTTAGTGGCATTAATAAACTGAACTGAAAATGATGAAAGTAGTATGTTACCTGACTTGAAAGGTGTTATGTTTGTCCGTGCTGGGTTAGTCCATCTCGCTTAATCCATTAATCCAAATTTCAGTATCCATTATCCAAGGCTCCAAGACATTTACCTTTTCATTTGTGCATATATGCTCCGTTTGCTTGCAATACTATTTCATTTGCACTGCTATTAATTACTAAACCAATATTAATATAACTAGTATTAATTACTAATTAATTAGCGAATAAGTTACTTAAGATTTTAGACATATTTAAATTATTAATTTTTTTTTCAAACTTAACCGAGGGCATTTTTTTTTTAATATTTGAAAATTGTTGACTGCAATTAAAATTATGCGGCCAACAATCTTTCTTTAGAGAAGGCAAAGAGGTTACCAAATAGTCCAGATCTGCTCCACACAACATGGATGATATTAACGCTGTTTAACATTTAAAACTATGTATTTTTTTTAGCAAATTTCTTTGCGCTAGTGCAAACACATGGGAGTGCAAATGTAAAAAAAATGCAAATTCTTATTTAATTTTATTTTGGATTTTAGTTTATTCTGTCATTCTGTTTCATGTTTTAATTTATTTCATTTGTACTGCAAAGTTTTTCCCCCCGTTAATGTGATATAAGACCCAATCTAATACAGTCCCCAATAAAATTATAATTCTATATATTACTTTTGATTCTCAGATGTGTCATTTCAAATCACTTTGTTCATGGGCTCCCTCCAAAGAAAAATAACTTTGTTGGTGTACGTGTTGTGTGTGGAAATCAAAGGGGTTCATTTCCTTTCTCGTGACCAACAATTCCTTGTTGTCTTTTTCTCTTGGGGGTTGCGTGGAGTCTGTTCAGGTTTTTTTTTTTGCATTTCTAGGAGGATTGGGGAAGGTTGGTATATAAGATTGGAAGAACAACCATAAACCAACACAAGCCAGCTATTGGTCCAAAAAGTACAAGGTTTGGACAATGGTTCTGTGAAATCTACTTGGTTTTATTTTATGTTGTTATGAATTAAGTAAATTATATTCGATTAATTACATATATTCAAGCCAGTAAATAATATATAGTTTTAGGCAAAATCTATGATGTGGTGCTTCCGTTGCATTCTGCAGTAAAAATAAATGTGATTAATTGAATATGATGGTAAATATATTCTGTTAAACAAACATGAAAGAGCAAATTAGTGAAAACTAAACTAACTTTAAATTTAACGTGCAGTCAATATTGGTGAATGCATTATAATTGAACTCCTAATTATATCACATCGAAGAATAAAAATTCATGATATCCATATTTGGTTCAATATCTAACAGATCAGTTGTAAATATGAATTCAAATCTGAATCAATTAAAATATCCAGAAATTTGAATATCAATAAAACTTTACAAGAAATTAAAATGCCAACTTCTTATATAAATTGAACCTAAACCCACCAAATTACAGCTCCAATTAAAACAAGACTTGTAAACAGAACTTGCCACCTAATTTTGGTAGGTATGTCAAGGCCCAACCAGGCATGGCCAGATCATCTGTGTATTACTAAATACATTACAGACGTGAATTTTAATTGGAATACCATGGTCCCACAACTTGTCACATTTTGAGCATTGGACCCACCATCTGTTGGGTCATATCTAGTTGATCAGGTGGAGGTGGGCCAGCAATTGGAATGCAGAGAAAATTAATAACCCACTGAGAATAATTACTTCATCTGGTTAGATAGTGGAGAAATGTGTTTCTGAGAACAGAAATAAAAGAAAACATTTACAAGTAATGCCCCCAAATGCTTTAGGCAGGATCATTGAATTGTTATCCCAGACAGTTAGAGATTCCCTGTCTCATGTGTCACCAGAGACCAGACCTAGGGCTGCAAATGTTATTCTTTTGTCCAAGTTCAAATTCGGTCCAATTTGAATCGACATTGATCCAATCCGATTATATCCAAATTTGACAAATATATGCATTTATGTAGGTATATAATTTGACAAATAAATGTGAGGCAAGAGAGATTAAAATAAGCAAAAGCTAAGCAAGCATCTTCCGAGCTTTTACCTGCTCGAAGCATCACAAGACAA